GATCTGTCCTGAGCCTGCTGCAGCCACAAGGCTCAGTAGTGGTCCCCCGCTTCCAGAGCTGGAGAGAGGATGAATTCAGCATGAACTGAGACACACCCAAATAACGTGACCCGGTAAGTCAGTACCGTGGAGGTGCAGAGGAGAGGGGAAGTCCTTGGTGTGCTGAAAGGTGGGATTTTATCTGTATCTTTAAGAAAAAAGGTAGGGAATTCCAAAGCAAAGCCTAAGTTATGTTTGAGGTCAGAGTGTAATCTAGAAGATTAAGGGGAAGGTTCACATGGTGAAAACAACTCTGGACTGAGATTAGGGAGGGCCTTTGAGAGCAGTTGGAAGCATTTGAACTTTAGACGATTGGATGGCAATCAAAGGGTTTTGAGCAAAGATGTAACTTCCATTCAACAAATATTTAGTGAGCTCCTCCCACATACCAGGTACTGTTCTAGGGAATGAAGATACAATGAAGAACAGAACAAAGTCCCTAGCCTCTCAGAGCTTATAGTCTAACGTAAGTTAGGAGACAGTGGACACGTAAATACACAATGCTGATTCGTGACCAGTGCTATGGAGAGATACCATGCAAAATGGGGAGATGGAGACTGACTCCAGAGGATTGGGAGTAAGGAATGGCAGAAGGTGTTTTCCTCAGGGTGTAGGGAAGATCTCTCCTTCTCCAGTAAGGTGAAAGGGAACCCAGTGAGGGAGGGAGCCTTGCTGATACCTGGAGGTAGTGTGTCCAGTGGAGGGAACAACTCGTGGGAAGGACCCGAGGCAGGAGTATGCTCAGACCAGCCAAGGAGCAGCAGGAGTGGAGGAGGAGTGGAGGCGAGGGAGCCCATAGTGTTCAGAGGGGAGGTCAGAAAGGTAGCCAGGGCTAGAGGAGTCAGGGCTTCAAGGGGTTTGAATATAGTTCTCAAGTAGGATGGGAAGCCATTGACAGCTGGGGTTAGTGATATGACAGGTTGATGTTTTTGAAGGGCCATCCGGATGCCAGAATGATGAGTGGTAAGCAGGGCCAGGAGTAGAGGCAGGGAGACACATGAGAAGCCTGTTGCAGGAAGTCCTGGATGAGGATGAATGTGAAAGTGCTGGTGGGAAAGATGGGAGCCAGGGACCTGGACCCCCTCTCCCATCTCTGAAAACAGTTCTAACCCTGCTCCCATGTCCTTTCCACATTATGTCCCTGTTCATCCCTACTCTCGCTTGCTCCTGCCTGGCTTGTCCCCCTCTCCTGACTTTAGACCCTAATCCCTTCAGTTGCTGTCCCTTATCTGCACCTGCTTCTCTACTGGAATCTTCCAGGAATACTTTTTCTAGGTAATTTGGTGGGTGGGGTCTCCAGGTGACTATACATCCTGTCACTCAGGTGGTTGTGGCAACAAACATCGCTGAGACATCACTCACCATTGAAGGCATCATTTACGTGCTGGATCCAGGGTTCTGTAAGCAGAAGAGCTACAACCCTCGCACAGGCATGGAATCCCTCACTGTCACACCCTGCAGCAAGGTCAGCCTGCTTGGGCTCCAACAATGTCTCCATGGGAAGGGTTCAATTCTGAAGCCTGTGGGAACTTCTTAGAGGACAGGGAAAAAGCAGCCTACATCCTCTCAGATTTCTTGCATAAGTATTGCTTCTTCTCTTTTCCCTCTCCAGTTGTCAGCCATGCCTGCCTCTCCTTTCTTTGTAGGCCTCAGCCAATCAACGGGCTGGTCGGGCAGGTCGGGTGGCTGCTGGGAAGTGCTTCCGCCTGTATACTGCCTGGGCCTATCAGCATGAGCTGGAGGAAACCACAGTGCCGGAGATCCAGAGGACCAGCCTGGGCAATGTCGTATTGCTGCTCAAGAGCTTAGGTTATTTGGGGTCCCCCAGTCCTCCTGAGAGAGGAGGGAGGAGGGGCTGGAGTCACTGATCCCTGCAGAGAAGCTGTTCTACACCCTCACATCTTTCTTCAGGGATCCATGACCTAATGCACTTTGATTTCCTGGATCCTCCACCATATGAGACCCTCCTGCTGGCTTTGGAGCAGCTGTATGCTCTGGGAGCCCTCAACCACCTCGGGGAGCTCACCACGGTAAGGTGGGAGGGCAGCATGGGCAGGAGCAGGATGAGGGGGTTGGGGTGACTTCTTGAGTGGTGGAGGGACCCCTGAGGGAGGACTGACCTCAACTCTTTTTCCTCTCCTTAGTCTGGTCGGAAGATGGCAGAGCTACCAGTGGACCCCATGCTATCTAAAATGATCCTGGCCTCTGAGAAGTAAGTGCCACACCCCATTCCCACCCCTGCCACTCTGGCCAGGCCCCCAGCACACAAACTGGCTTTGCTTCCTTCTCTCTTGGGGCCTTCTTTGTTACCTTGGTCTTTTTCCTCTTTTTCTCCTTGCTGTATTATTCTTTAACAAATAAGTTATTAGAAAACTCTTACTGCCCCTTTTGAGGCTCACAAGGGGCAGTAAGATATTAATCAAATGAGTAAGATTGACAAAAAGAAAATTGGGGGGCATGAATGCATGTGGAAGACTTAGCACCTGTGAGGAGTGCTGTGTGTGGACTGGTTTGGGGACTTTCTCATTCCTGAGGTTTTGGACTGTAACACTTAGATGTAGTTGTGGAGCGACCACCTTTAAATGCCATTCCTCTGCCGTAGTAGAGGTCAGAGGTCATTACGTGAACTTGAAGTGCTGTCTTTTCCTGATGCACATAATACACCCCTTCCTCCTGCAGAAGTCCTTCCTACCCTCAGAAGTCCTCAGTGCTTTCCTGCCCTCGCCATGGATAGCCTCCCTGCGATTGTTTCACCACCACCAAAATCTGTCCGCCCTGAATTGTAGCCGTTAATGGCAGTCTCCATGTGAGGACACATCCGCAACACAGTGATCACTTCTCCCCTTACTGTGCGTGTATCTGTTCCTGTGTGCCTTCCTTTGAACCCTCATGCTTTGCCGTTCCTGCCCCAGGTACAGCTGTTCAGAAGAGATCCTGACGGTGGCTGCCATGCTGTCTGTCAACAACTCCATCTTCTACCGACCCAAAGACAAGGTTGTACATGCCGACAATGCCCGTGTCAACTTTTTCCTCCCTGGTGGAGACCACCTGGTTCTGCTGAACGTTTATACGCAGGTCACTGGGCTTGGCTGATGGGATTGAGGGAGACACGGGGGACTCTGGTTCTGCTATATACTTAAGTCCCACTTTTTTTTTTTAACCATCTTCACAGTGGGCTGAGAGTGGTTACTCTTCCCAGTGGTGCTATGAGAACTTTGTGCAGTTCAGATCAATGCGCCGAGCCCGGGATGTGAGGGAACAGCTGGAGGGGCTCTTGGAACGCGTGGAAGTTGGTCTCAGCTCTTGCCAGGGGGACTATATCCGTGTACGCAAGGTCAGCTTTTTTTCAGTCTCCCTGTTCCCCACACTCTCTCCATCTACAGAGTGAGCTGCTCTGGGGTCCTGCAGCAGTCCCTCCAGCCTGAGGATGTGCCCTCTTCCCCTGGGGAAGGCGTGCTTTTCTGTGCTTTCTTCTCCAGACCCCTGAAGGGTCATTCCCAGGGGGTTCTTCACGCATTCCTTACCTTTTGAGTTCTCCAGAAGCCTGAACTAAAAAGGTAGTGAGTGCTTAGGTTCCCTGGATGTGTGGCTTTCTGGTTGACTTTCTTTCCTGTCTTCCCCTCAGGCCATCACAGCTGGTTACTTTTACCACACGGCCCGGTTGACTCGTAGCGGCTATCGCACAGTCAAACAGCAGCAGACAGTGTTCATTCACCCCAACTCCTCCCTGTTTGATGAACAGCCACGTTGGCTGCTCTACCATGAACTTGTCTTGACCACCAAGGAGTTCATGAGACAGGTGAGGGGACCTTCCCTTGCCCAGGATGGTGCAGATGTGGGGGGAGGTAGGATCCTAACAAGCTAAAAACCCAGGTTCAGGTTGCTGAGACCAGCAGAGAAATAGGAAAACACTTTGCTTTAAGGCAGGATAAAATAGAAAGGCCTTCTCTCAACAGCTATGTCAGCATCTACTAAGATCTAAGAACTGCATATTCATTCAGTGCATATTTGAATGCCTAGTATCTTGGTGTTTCAGATGCTGGGGTAAGAATGGTGAACAAGGCAGATGTGGTCTCTGTCTTGAGTGTACTTTACAGTCTTTTTTTTTTTTTTTTTTTTTTTTAATATTTTATTTATTGATTTGACAGAGAGAGATCACAAGTAGACAGAGAGGCAGGCAGAGAGAGAGAGAGAGAGAGGGAAGCAGGCTCTCTGTTGAGCAGAGAGCCCGATGCGGGGCTCGATCCCAGGACCTTGAGATCATGACCCGAGCCGAAGGCAGCGGCTTAACCCACTGAGCCACCCAGGCGCCCCTACTTTACAGTCTTTATGACTAGGTTTTTTAGGGATAGTTTACTGGGGATCCTGAATGACATGTAAAGGTTATGTCTGCCCTTGGGGTATATAGTATTAGAGCCTGGCACCTTGCCCCTAGCCCTGTAGTCAAAGGTGGAAGAAAGAAACTTTTTTGATTACACATACACTAGAGTGTAGGTTGGAAAAAGGGGAACCCTACTGACTTTTTCTCTCCTCTTGTAGGTATTGGAAATTGAGAGCAGTTGGCTTCTGGAGGTGGCTCCTCACTATTATAAGGCCAAGGAACTAGAAGATCCCCATTCTAAGAAAATGCCAAAAAAAATAGGCAAGACACGAGAAGAGCTAGGGTAAAGAGGAGGGGACACAAACAGAACTCAACACCCCTCTTTTTCCTTCTGTAACATTATTTAATGTACATTTTTGGAATAAAGCTTGTGGGAACTTTAAATTTTAATTGATTTATATTTTATTTTTAAAAAAAGATTTGAAAGAGAAAGAATTATTATTTTAAGTAGCCTCCATGCTCAGCATGGGGCTTGAACTCACAACCCCAAGGATCAAGAGTCCTATGCTCTACCGACTGAGCCAGCCAGGTGTCCCAAGCTTATGGGAACTTTTGAGATGCAGAGAAAGTAACATGGAAATTCTCATATATTCACTTAGACTTTATTATTTACAAGTTAAATTACACAGCAGCTTTACACAGCATGAGATGGCAAAAAAGGAGAGTAAAGAGGGGAGGAAGCTGGCTCCTGAGATTCTAGGCCCCCCCCCACCCCTTCCTCTTGTGCATATATAGCAAAGTCTTCAGTGCTGCCTTTACCCCAGTTCCTGGATCAGGTCTTAGAACACAGGTGTAAGTTGGGTTCTGGCTCTGACAGTCCCAGAGTCACCAGGGCTCCCACTAGCAGCTTTTTCACAGGCGTTGGGGCTGAATGTGAAGGCATCAGCTGCAAGGACAGAGGTTAAGGCCAGTTGGTGGGATGTTCTACACCTTCACCCATCCCCATCCAGCCTAAGGACTTACTTTGTCTAGGCGATGGCGACAAATGAGGCCACTGGAATTCAGGTAGAAGGTGGAATAGGCATCATAGGTCCTGGTGAAGGGAAAAAGAGAGGCTTACTGAGGGAGGTGACTAGTCCCAAAGTTTAATTCAAGCACTTGTTTAAACCAGTAGTTCCTAAATTTTGCTACACTGTAGATGTAGATGAGGAGAACTCAAAAACAACTGATGCTCAGGTTGTACCCTGTCCCACTTAAATCTTGAATGTCTGGCACCGGTATTTAAACTTTAAAGATCCTTAGATGATTTTTGAGAATCACTGGTTTGGGCCAAACCTAACAATTTCCTGGGATTCTGTTCTATGCCAGAAATTTACTAAATACTCTACCTAAGATTATGAAGCTCAACTTATTAGGAATTTTCATTTGTTCAATAAATACTTGAATGACTATCATGTGCCACATGGTGTACACCAAAAAACGGAGTCTAGAGGTTTCTTAACACACTCAATGTCCCTGATTCCTTGTAGAGAAAACAAAATCCCTGCTCTCAAGGAGGCTGCAGACAAGTTACAGTATATCAAGGATGGTCTGGAAGACTAGATGAGAGTCCTAAAGGCAGGATTAAGAAACCGATTGGATCTTTTCTCACTTCTCTTACCGATAAAGCTCTTCCTTGTCTCGCTTGTAGAAACGCAGAAAGAGCATGTGGATGGGCAGCCCCACAAGCCGCCAGCGGGCTTGCAGGGTCCAATTCTCTGGGTGGCGGGTCAGCTGTAGAACCTCCAACCGAAGCTGTGCAAAATAGTTCCAGGCCAGGAAGCGGCAGAGGGTCAGTGACAGAATGTACCATGTCCGGCCCCTGGGAAGAAGGGATGGGAAAGATCGCTCATGATGGCATAATCAGAAAACCAAACTGGCCTCTGTCTGGGGAACGGGAAACAGTTGTGAGAGGTGGCAGGACATTCTCTGGTAAATGAAAAAGATCAAGTAGAAAGCACATGGTGCTTTTCCTCCCCAAGGCCCTACCCGTGCCTGGATTCTCACTTGGTACGGATATTCAGGATCTCATTGATGAATTCCACATCCGATGAGTAGAGAGTATAGTCGTGGGAGTGAAGGAAGAGATTGGGAAGCTGGGTGGAAGAAGAAGGCATCAGCCCAGTAGGAAAGAAAAGATGATCCTACTTCTCAGTTTTCTCTTCGATGCTTCTTTACTCCCCTCTGAGTAAAAAGTCATCTCATCCCATATTTAACTTCCCTTAAATCCAAACTGAAAAATCTCTTTTTCTTGGGAAATGTTTATATGCCTGTCTCATAATTCCAAGAAATCCAGTCGACTAGCCCTCTATTTCCAGGTACTATCTACATCCCTTCTCACTGCAGATGGAGGCCACTTTCAAGCTGACTTACCTCTTGTCTCAGTCTCTCATACATGACAGCCAGGTGCTCCTCCATACTTGGATCTCCTGATGGAGTGGCAGGGGAAGGGTGAGAGGTCCCTGGGGCTTGGAAAGGTATCAAAGCCCCAGGACAGGGGCAGGGAGGTCCCTCAAATAGGCTCCTAAGCCCATCCAGGCAGCCACTATGCATCTCAGGTCCTGGTGCCTCCTCCCCCTTTCCTGGAGGGAGAACCACCCATGGTGAGCTGAGGGCCTGGATCTGAGGGAGATGTAGTGGGGGAGCCCGGGGAAGCAGCCAGATCGGAGGGTGTGGGGGTGGGGGAGACCAGAGAAGAGAAGATGGAGAAGTGGCTGTTGTGGAGGGGGGCCACAGGGGTGGGAATGGTAGAGTCCGTGGAGAAAGCTGGTCCTAAGGAGGAATAATAAAAGGAAAAAGATAAGAATCTAGCTAACTGATGCCCCCTCATCTAAACTCTGTTTATTAATATGCTTCCAATCCCACCTGCTCCTCCTGACAGGAGGAAAATGGGATGAATTCCTTTATCTCTACTGAAAACAGGAAGTTTCCTGTGACACAGGTACAAGTACTTCCGCAAAACATTAGTTTAAGATCACAACACTGTTTGGGGGTAGTTACACATCTCTTACAGAAAAAAATCCTAATATTTTGAAAAATGAACAAAGGAATGGAGCAACAGATTTTAGTGTAAATGTGGATGAAATAACGTGGCCGGTAACACAACTCCACCATGAAGTGTGTGATAGAAAAAAACATCCAGCTGTAAGCAGGGGACATTTCTCTCAGCTCTGATTACCTTGGGCACTCTCATTCCCTATGCCTAGTTCTTATAAATGTCCTCTTATACACAAGGACGATGAAGCACACTGAACTGTTATGAGGACTATCGGACATAATAAATGTAAATATAACTTCGTCATCTATAAAGTAGTATGTAAATATGAGTTACTATCTTTTCGGGCTCCGCTAATGACACAAACAAGCCGAGGAGACCGTTAAAGACTGGGCTTTAAGTCGCCTGGTTTACCGATGTTCAAAGTGCGACGGGCGGGAGGTCACCCAAAGTAAGGCCTCGCCCGAGTCCTTCGCTCTCAAGGAACCCCTGCGGGGCTGTCTCACTTCCGGAAAGGCTGGCGGGCGGTGCGGGGGGGGGTATCACCGGCCCCAAGGCGCCGTCTCCGCTGGGGGCGTGGCCATTTTGCCCTGCCGGGCGCAGGGGCTAGAACCGGATCCACCCAGGCCGGCTTTTCCGCCCTGACCGCTATCCCGGTGTAAGATACGCGGGCTGCACAGGGCTGCCCGCAGGTCTGTCTGTTAGGGATCTGGGAATTCCGGGGCGGCTCCGCGGCCAGGCTGCGAACCTCTCCGCCCCTTGTCCTTCAAATCACCTCCATGCACAGGTAACCGCGGAAACGCCGGAGAAATGCGGCCGCGCCCCGCCGTCCCTGCTTCAATGCCGCCTGCACACCCGAGACCCGGGAGAACCAACATCGCGTGCACGCCACGCCCGGCTGTACGCTCCTCAGGGTCCCCGCGACCCCTCGCCCCTCCACGCGCCTCCCTGCACAGGTGAGAAGGGCGGTAGGACGGCATTGCGCCTGCGCGGACGGGGCGCACGCTCCGCCCCACACGCCGACTCTGAGGAGGGTCTCTCCCCGCCCCCTCTCCTCCCCTCCTGTTTCCCCTCTGCTCTCACCTGGGGGCGAGCCTGGTAAGTGCGGAGGCAGGGGCCGAGACGCCGGGCCGCCCCCCGGCTGGGCTGGTACATGATCTAACGGGAGCGGAGACAGCGCCTCCAGTGTCCGGCCTCTGGCCTCCTCACAGGGGTGAGCGCGCCCCGGAGCCGGCTTCTTGAAGGGGAAAGTGGGGGGGGGTGTGTGTGAAGGGGCTGGAGAGAGGGAAACGGAGATGTTGCGCGCTTGCGCACTGCAGCGGGTTCCAAGGAGGCGATGAGGCATTCGTCTGCAGTGAGTGCGCTTGCGCATGCTGGCTCACGAGGCCGTCTAAGCGCGCTTGCGCAGTAAATTAGGTCCCGGCGAAGAGGGCTGTTTTACCTGTAGCGCTTGAGCAAAAAGCTGGGGGATAATGGGTCTGAACCAGGTACACGAAGAACGAGGGGTGGGATTGAAAAGAATGACAACTTCCAGCAGCTCTCGCGATAAAAATAAATACTTTTATTACTCTGGTTAAAAATAAAATACAAATGACTTGGCATTGATAAAGCCTGCTGAGTGAATGAATGAACGAATGAATACATCCATTATGAGGGCGGGCTTTGGCTACCTCCCATAGTGAGAATACCAGCTTTGAAGGCGTAAGAGGGGGTTGCGGTCACCAAGGCCTGGTGCTGCGAAGGTCCTGCAAGTTTCGAATGAACCTGGCGTTGAATATGTTCCCACCCATTGTCCAGGCCTGGGCTGGTAGGGCCTGGGCCTGTGGAGGAACTGTGTGCATGTGTTCTTCCCCAGACCCAGCCTGTGACAAGACCTGCTCCTCGCTGGCAGACCTGGTAGGTGGGAGGGAGATGGAGAATGGGTTATAGGGATACCAAAGTGGCAATTAAGATCATACTCTTCAAGGTCTAGCCCTGATGTAGAATAGGACATATGATGGGAGTATGAGGCTGAAACTATTAGGGCTACGTCCAAATTTGAAACCCCTCAGAGAGTACCAAAGGTAAGCACCAGTTGAACCTATGGGGAAAGAGCGTTTCAGATTAGGATGTTAGGTAGAACAATCTGTGAGAGGAGCTGGTGTTCGGAGGAGAAAGGAGCTGAGAGTGATGTTAGGAAAAGGAGTCAGAGGTGGTGGGAGGCTGGTAGGGGAGGGGTTCAGACCTCACCTATTCTCTGTGTCCTGTTCCCCCTGCTTTGATTCTTGGTTGCCTATGAAAACACCAGGCATGTGCATGGGAAGACTGGAGTAGATAGTCAATATGGCCTGATTTGAGGGCAAGGAGGGATGAATACTTACCTGTATTGGGGGATGAGGAATTCAGCCCCCCATGGCGGCTGTAGCAGCAGCTTTGGGCTACCAGCCCTGGGGGAGGCCCCCTGTAGAAGAAATGGGAGATGATGGGGAAGAGGCTATAGGAAGAAAGATGAGTGGGTATGAAGGAATCAGAGGAGAGGAATGAAAGGAATAATACAGGAGAAAGAGAAGGGTAATTATCGTTCCTATGGGGTTTTAAACTAAGCTGTGCCTCAGAAAAGGGGAGGGAGCCCATTTCATACCCCAAGATTTCTCTGGAGTACTCCTGGTTTGTTGATATTAGTTCTAATGTGTTAAAAGTAAGGGTAAATGTTATTGAAATTATGCCAGAAAACCAGACTCAGGCAAAAAAGTTTGTTGGACCAGGTGCCCTGGTGTTTGGTTTAGAAAACATGGTTACTTTAAATTACAGGATATGTCAGACCAGAGGGAAATAGGGATTGACAAGGCTGAATTCAGGGGGAAAAGGAATTGTCTTGAGAGAGGTCCAAGGGTGGTGGTGGGGGCAGGAAATCAGAATGGGAAGCGGAATCCAGGGAATAGTCAGGAGGCAATGAGTGGATCCCAGAGATATTGGTTAATATTGACATTTCAGCAATGGGTGGTCTAGGCTAAAGGGTAGACATTACTGCGGAGAGCTGGAGATTTCTGGAGGCAATGGGGGAGTACCTCTAGCAGCCTATACAGAGGGATCCAGCGACTACATTACAGGAGACAGAATCTGCATAAGATCCAGCAGATCTCAAAGGTAAGGAGAATCAGAGGGCCAGGGATCCCAGGAAAAAAATCAGGTGACACACAAATGAGACTGAGACCTGAAGTTTGGGGGTTGGTTTTTTTTTTTTTTTTTTTTTTTTTTTTGATTTTTTTTCATTGAAAATGTCCATTTAAAAAACACAAAAGAATGCACACTTTATTCAGACAACACTGAAAAGGAGAAGGAAAAGGAGTTGGGAGAGAGGGAGATCCTGCTCCCAAGTACTGGGATGGGGGAACACAGTAGGAGTATCTGATCTACCACACATTCAGAGAGTAGGGAGGGTGAAGACGTTCCATACCCTGGGTATGGAGCAGGGAAGGTTCTTGCTATGGAGGAAAAGAAGGCAGGCCAGGGGGAGAGTTCCGATACCACCTCAAGAAAATCTCACAAGACTGGAATATATCATCATCTAGCTACTGGGGCAGGGTGTATGCAAGAGGGGATCCCAGAAGCTAACAGGTACTTGAGACTCAGGGCTTGTTCTGAAACATGATTAAGAGTGACTCCAGGATACTAAATGGGATCTACTGCCATGAAACAATTCCCTCACAGAATCTGGATCTAGGGAAAGTGGTAGTATCTTTAGAAGTGTGGGAAGTCTTTAGAGCCTCAAAGCAGACATCGGTTTGGGGGTTCCCGGACACATATACAAAATGTGGGGAGATTAAGAGTTTGGCAATGTTGAGTGGATCCCTTTGGGGTCCTGGTCGTCTTAAGACCCTGTCCTTTATCACTGAACTGCTCTGAAGCAGAGCTCATCGGTTGGCTTCAGCAGGCTGAGAAGGTTAAGTGTGGTAGGCAGCACAAAACAGTATTAGAGTCACCAGTAATGCTGTAGAAGGACTATGGGATTTATTCCATGGACAAGACTCCTTAAAATGTTTCCCTGGCAGAGGAGGCCCTTAGACCTTCCAAGGTGTTCCATAGTCTAACAGCAAGCAAGAATGTGCTTCTCTGGGTAATGAGTATAAGCCACCCAACCACGGGATCTGGCGGTGAATCAGGCTATCTGTGGGAGTGTTCAGAGCCCACTTAGGAAAGAAGGCATGCTTTCTACATAAGAAAAGCTACAAAGTATTAGCCCATCTGGAATCCTAACAACATCTTTGCCCAAGAAAGAGGACGAGGGAATCCTACAAGCTCTGTCAGTTTCCACTGGAACCTGGGGACTACAATGGAAGAGTGGATGTGGGGTTCTCAGGGAAAGGGGGCTCTGCCTACTCCAGGTCTCCCAGGGAGGGAAGGGGGTAACTATCTGTCAGTATCGACTCTCATCAGAGCGGGGAAGGGAACTGTGGAAGGGTGTTATGGACAGGAGAAAGGGAAAGGGAAAATGGGGGAGAGAGAAAAACAGAGAAATCAGAAGTGAAGAGAAAGCTAGGGAGAGAAATCAAGGAGATACCCTCTCCATTTGCTGGGATGGATTCCTGCTATACAAAGCAGTAACATGAGGCCAGTGGCTCCCCAAACTGTCAGAAACATTGCATCTTCCCAGTAAGCATGAAACCAAGATTTCCCCAATCTGAGAGACTCAGTCCCTCCCACCCAATGGATATGTTCTTACTATCCTTCCTCCCATCTCTCACTTTAAAAACTAGAGTCCCTAGTTTTTAAACTAGCCTAGGTGGCTCAGTGGGTTAAGCCTCTGCCCTATTCAGGTCATGATCTCAGGGTCTTGGGATCGAGCCCCACGTCTGGCTCTCTGCTCAGCAGGAACCCTGCCTCCCCCTCCCCCTCTGCCTGCCTCTCTGCCTACTTGTGATCTCTCTGTGTCAAATAAATAAAACCTTAAAACAAAACAAAACAAAAACTAGAGTCCCTAGAGTCCATATAAAGTACTATTCTACTCCTTCATGTAACTTACTTCCAGACTGCTCCCATAAATCTGGTCCAATACATTCTTCTCAAAAGGTTTCAGAGCTCTCCAATCTACCTGTCCTATTGCTTCACATCTCTGGCAGATTCAAACTCCCCTTTGCCATTGCTAACACCCTCTTTGACAGTTCTGAGGCTCCCTAACCCTCCAACTCCTATTACCTGGTGCGCCGCCGTTGGGCTGGGCTGCCCCCAGGGTCGGTAGCAAGCAGAAGGCGGGCGGTAGGGTGTGGGGGGCAGAGGCGCAGGGAACGCAGCAACTCCTGCTCTGGTACAAAGGGGCGGAGGGGACCCCGTTCTGGTGAGTTTCCCAGGCTGCTGGAGCGGGGGGGTGGGTGGGCTGGAGGCGTGGCACGGCGAGGGGCCCTGTTTAGGGGCCAAGGAGGTTCCACAGCTACCTTCAGAACTGGCAAGAGGGAAAATACAGAGCAAGATGGAGAAAGAAGAAAAAGGAGAAGAGAGTGAGGAGAGTAAAGATTTGGATAGAAAAAAGAGAAATCAGAGCCTTTAGAGAGAACTAATCCTTCTGGGTTAAGGCCCCCAAGCCCAGCCACCCTACCCCAGTCTTACATTCTCGGTCACTAGAGGAATATGGCTTAATGTCTCCCTCTGCTCTCTTGGGTGGCAGCTTTCTTGCTGGAGCTGGCAGTGGAAAGCACACAGACAAGGTAACCATTAGAAGACATACTCTGTACCCCTCCTCCCAGCCACTACCCCCTTGACCCCGAAACTGTGCTCCCTGACACCACATTTTCTCCTGGGGAAGGAGAGAATTCAGTTCAGCTCCACTGCAGAAGCCCTGTTGCAATGCCTTCACACCAAGAGGGAATTCAGGGGAAATGCTGGAGCACTTTTGAGGGGAGCCAGAAGGAGTAGGCCAAATGCAGAATTGGGGGAAAAGTTCCAGGGGGAGACTCTGGGACTTGGGAGATGCAGGAGAAAGTTGGCTAAGGGAGGCAAGCTCTTACTGTCAGTGGGTGCTGTCACGCCCCCCTGGGATTCTGGGGCAGTGGAATGGTCCCAGCCGGGCCAACGAGGACCCCAGGTCCCTCTAGATGAGATGGACAAAGTCCTTGGTTAATTAGGAATTGCTTTGGAGAGATCAGGGGAGGCTGGGGGCAGAACCTCTCCTTCCAGGACAAGATTTAAGCTTTATTAGGAAAAACAAAGTTTGAGGAGAAAACAAAGACATTTGGAGTTAGCACAGTAAATGGGAGGCTAACATATTATGCAAAGCTCTGCTTCCCGTCCCCTCACTTTTCTATTTGCTCCCTCCCTTTCCCTCTCAAGAGGTTCTCTATTGTGTGTGGCAAATGAGAGACTGCTCAGCAAATCCTCTTAGGCTTTATCCATGGTCCCTCCCCCTGTGGACTTGGGTCCTCACTGTCCTTGTTGGCTCTCACTCCCTCTCATAGCCTGTAGTCAGCAGGAGCTGGATGGGGGGAAGCCTTGGCAAGCAAAGTGAGTCATGGATATGAACTGCCTCCCTGACACTGGTCACAGCTATTAAATGGTAACAGATTGTTCTTTGAGTGGTGGTTACTCCCTTTCCTGGCCATGGAGGAGGTAAGAGCTAGCTACAAGGTCAGCTCAGCAGGGGAACATGTCCATGCAAGCTGTTCATCTCTACCCTTGGGAGGCAGTGAGGAAGGAGGAGTGGGGCTCAGATTGGCAGGGAGTATGTGTGTATGAGGATGGAATGGGGAGCCTGGGAAGCATTTCAATACCTCCTAGATTTGGTTTCTCCAGATCAATTTCATTATTTTGTTGGAAATATCATAAATTCTGAGCGTTATTTTCTAAAACTAATATTTAAACTTTGGACCATTCATGTCACTATTCTGTAACTGGAAATGGAAGGGGTGGCCACAGTTGTCTATCCCTCAACTGACAGAAACCTGAGGGGTCTGCAAAGGAATGAGACCCTGGCCTACTTTGATGGACCTGAAGCAGCAAGAGACACCATAAATATCAGTCATCAAACAGGCTCCCGATGAGCTCACTCAGTTAAAAGTTCTGACAAGCCTAAGAAGTACTAAGCTCATGAGGGCAAAAGCAGATGGGTAACAACTGCTGGGACTTGGGCTGCTTTAGAATTTTCCCAAATTGCCCATAATCGCACTGTGCTCCCTGTGGCTTCTAGAGGAGCTAGCCACCATGGCCTACAGTTCCACCCATTCACTGCAGCTTTACCAGCGGGTGTAGAATCAATCGCAGCAGCGCGAGAGTGTCGAGATGCCCTCAGGGAGGGAGCAGGGGGCCCTGTGAGGAAGGAAGCGGTGGTGCCCCTTAGTAAGGGGGCCAGTGGGATCAAGAATCCACCTCTTTTCTTCCCCTCACCCCAACTACTTGGCCAACATATACAAGGTGACATAACTTACGATGTTGATGGGCAAAGAAGCCTTCGAAGATCACAAAGTTGTTGACCTATAAGATGAAACAAGTAAAATATAGTTGTTCATTCAGCCATTCACAACTACATGGGGACAGAACCTTGTCCCAGAAAAACCACGTGGGAGGAACAAAAGCCAGCCTTCCTGTCCTTGTTAACAGACTCAGTTAAAAGCTCAGACCCTGATAAACTGATCCCAAAAGTTGATACAGAATTACAAAGGACCTCAAATAGCCAAAACAATCTTGGGGGATTCATACTTCCTGATCTCAAAACTTAAAAGGTATGGTTATCGAAATGGTATTGAAGAGGCCAAAAGAGAGACATACAGACCAATAGTATGAATAGAGTCCAGCAAAAACACCACATGTCTACAGTCAATTTTCAAGGGATGTGCCAATATGATTCGATGGGGGAAAAACAGCTTCCTTTAACAAATGGTGCTTGGACAACTGAATATTCACATGTAAGATAATGAACGTGGACCTCTAACTCACATCAGAAAAAAACAATTTCAACCGGGTCAAAGACCCTAAATGTTTTGGGTTTAAAATTTTTTTTGTTTATTTAAGTAATCTCTGCATTCGATGTGGGGCTCAAACTCACAACTTAGAGGATCAAGAGTCACAGGCTCTTCCGACTGAGCCAGCCAAGCACCCCAAAGATCTACGTGTCAAGAGCTAAAACTATGAAACTCTAAGAAGGAAACATGGAGGGGGATTGTCTCAGTGGCTCAGTTGGCTGAGCATCTAACTTTTGGTTTCAGCTCAGGTCATGAACTCAGGGTCGTGAGACTACTCCTGAATCAGGCTCCGTGCTCAGCTAGGAATCTGCTTAAGATTCTCTCCCTCTGCGCCCCCACCATGCTTGTGCACTCTCTCTAAAAAAAAAAAAAAAGAAAGAAACGGGGAAATCTTCATGACCTGGATTAGGCAATTGTTTCTTAAATATGACACCAAAGCACAAGTAACAAAAGAAAAAAAAACAAACTGGACTTTACCGAAAGCAAAACTTTTGTACTTCCAAAGACACAATCAAGAAAATGAAAAAACGGGGCGCCTGGGTGGCTCAGTCATTAAGCATCTGCCTTCGGCTCAGGTCATGATCCCAGAGTCCTGGGATCAACCCCCACATCAGGCTCTCTGTTCCACAGGAGGCCTGCTTCTCCCTCTCCCACTCCCCCTGTTTGTGTTCCCTATCTCACTGTGTCTCTGTCAAATAATAAATAAAATCTTTTGAAAAGAAAATGAAAAAACTGGGGCCCCTAGGTGGCTCAGTCATTGGCCCCCTGCCTTCGGCTCAGGTCAAGATTCCAGGGTTCTGGGACTGAGTCCTGCCTGGGGCTCCCAGCTCAGCAGGAAGCCTGCTCCTCCCTCTCCCACTCCCCCTCCTTGTGTGCCCTCTCTTGCTGTCTTTCTCTCTTTCAAATAAATAAGTAAAAGCTTAAAAAAAAAAAAGAAATACACAAAATTATTTAGAAAAATGAAAAAACCCGCAGAATAGGAAAAAATAATTGCAAATCATACACCTGATAAGGGCATTATATCTAGAATATATAAAGAACAAATTACAAGTCAAGAATAGAGAACACACTTTAAAAATAAGCATAAGGAGGGTGCCTGGGTAGCTCAGTTGGTTAAGTATCTGGCTCTTGCTCTCATTTCAGGTCCTGATCTCATCAGGGTCATGAGTTCAAGCCCCATGTTGGGCTCCAGGATGGGTGTGGAATCTACTTAAAAAAAAAAAAAAAAAGTGGGCATAGTACTTGAATAAACATTTCTCTTAGGAAGATATACAAATGGCTAATCAGCACTTGAAAAGATGCTGAACATCATTAGTCAACAAGGAGATGCAAATTGAAACTACAAAGAGATCCCAGTGATATACCCACTAACATAGCTAAAAAAAAAAAAAAAAAAAAAAAAGGTGGAGCACCTAGGTGGCTCAGATGATTAAGCCTCTAACTTCAGCTCAGATTGTGATCCCAGGTACTGGGATGGAGCCTGCTTCTCCCTCTCCCTCTGCCTGCTTGTGCTTTCTCTGTCTAATCAATGAATTAAAATCTTAAAAAAAAAAAAAATGATAAATGTTGGTGAGGATGTCGAGAAATTGGAATACTCGTACAATCGCTTCTGGGCCTTTTTGCTAAGATCAAGTGTGGAATACTCGTACATTGCTGGTAGAGGATGTAAAATGTTGGTCATTGTGGAAAAACACTGTGTCAGTTCCTCAAAAAGTTAAAGATTACCACATGACCCAGCAATTCCACTCTTAGGTATATACCCAAGAAAACTAGGGACACCTGGGTGGCTCAGTGGGTTAAGCCTCTGCGTTCTGCTCAGGTCATGATCTCAGGGTCCTGGGATCAAGCCCCGCATCGGGCTCTCTGCTCAGCGGGAAGCCGCTTCTCCCTCTCTCTCTGCCTGCCTCTCTGCCTACTTGTGATCTCTCTCTCTGCGCCAAATAAATAAATAAAATCTTAAAAAAAAAAAAAAAGAAAAAGAAAAAGAAAACTAAAAAGATATGTGCAAACAAAATCTTGCACACATATGTTCATAGCAGTATTACTCATAAGAGCCAAAACATGGAAACAACCAATTCTGAATCAGCTGATAAATGGATAAACAAAATGTGGTATATGCATATGATGAATATTATTCACCCATAAAAAGGCACGTGGTACTGATATAGGCTGCAACATGAATGAACCCTCTGAAAATATTATGGTAAGTGAAAGGCAAACACAAAGGCCACATATTGTATGATTCTATTTATATCAAATGTGCAGAATAAGCAAACTGACAGAACAGATTACTGGCTGACAAAGGCTGGGAAAAGGTGTATACAGGAAGTGACTGCTTAATGATTCTGGTTTTCTCTTTGTGTGATGGAAAGGTTTTAGAATTAGAGACCAGGAATAATCAGACAACACTGTGAATATACTAAAAACCACTGAACTATGTATTTTCCATAGTTAAGAGTGCATTTTATCTCAAAACCCAAAATCCTGTACCCTACTTTTTAGTTCTCCCAGGACCCAGGGTAATGGAGACACACTGCACAAAACACCAGGGAAGAAGAGGCATCCAAAACTTTCAAAACAGAGGCTTAAACATATACATGTACATACACACACCAGGCCAAATGGCTTAAGTATACAAATACTGAGAAAAACTAAGCTTTAAGAAGCATTCAAATGGATGGAATTGTCAAGGGAAGAAGACATGTTGGAGGACAGGGTGCCACTTTGATAACTAGTAATTGACTATCTTAGAGTCATTTCATTATAGTATCATATTCAATTTGGCCTTCACAACAATCCTTGGAGTCACTATGTTAAAGAGTAAAGACTTGGAGACATGGCCTGCCCAAGCCAAGTAGCTAACAAGTGACAGAGCTGGTCCTCAAGCCCCAGACTCCTAATTCTAGCTGTAGCACTTCAGCCAGGAATACACTGCCCATCAAGAATGGGCAATGGGGGGGCGCCTGGGTGGCTCAGTGGGTTAAAGCCTCTGCCTTCGGCTCAGGTCATGGTCCCAGGGTCCTGGGACCTCTGCTCTGCGGGGAGCTTGCTTCCCCCTCTCTCTCTGCCTACTTGTGATCTCTGTCTGTGAAATAAATAAAATCTTAAAAAAAAAATGGACAATGGGTTAATTAATTGAATTTAAATTTAAAAAACAGTAAAACAAAAAACCAAAGTGCTTAACATTAAAAAAAAATAAAGAGTGGCAATGGGTTCAAATTCTTGCTCTGCTACTTATTAGCTATGGGAACTTGGTCAAGGCACTAAACTGTATAAATCTCAAATGCAGTCAACAGAAGTACCCATCTCAAAGAGATGTACAAGGTCCCACTGAGACGATCCATGTAGATAGCACAGAGCTCATGAATCATTGTTTACATGATTATTTATACTCTATAATGTTTTGGTCTCATAGTTACTTGGGTATGCCTGATACTGTGCTCCTTTCACTGCTCTCCACTGCCCTCCCCTGTACAAGGGGAAGACATTCTAAATATAAACAGACCCTGCCTGTTTCCTGCCTTGACCCTGTCTACCCACCCACCCTCCTCCAGAAACAAGCACATGCCCAGCATTACTGCCACACCAAACTGCCTGCCATACATAACTGAATACCTATCCGCTTCTGCTCATGCTGGTTCCTATATATGAAATGCACTTTAGCCTGCCTACTTGTCCACTGTCCCCATGACATTCACCTTTCAAGATTAAACTTGTGTCAAGCCTTCCTTTACCCAATCCCCACCCCAAGGTAGCATTCACCACCATGTCTTTATGCCTCTGTAAGCACAATCAAATCATATTACAGTGGAGTAAGTGTCCATGCTCCAAATCCAAGGCTAACTTGTCAACCCAATCTCAACCCCTCCTGCCCATGACATTGTTTCAGCAATTCTCTCCATGTTCTCTGACATCATCACATTTTCTCTCTACTGAGTCGTTCTTACGCTGTTGGTTCTTCCAACTGAAAACAGTCAACTTTTTTTTTTTTTTTAAAGATTTTACTTATTTATTTGATGGAGAGCACAAGTCTGAAGAGAAAGAGGGGAAAGCAGGCTCCCCGATCAGAGAGCCTGATGGGGGGCTTGATCCCAGGACCCTGAGATCATGACCTGAGCCAAAGGCAGAGGCTTAAACCACTGAGCCCCCCAGGTGCCACAATCAACCCTCTCTTAATCCACTTTCCCCTCTAGTTCTTGTTCTTTCTTTGTTCCCCTTAAAGCAGCATTTTTTTTTTTTTAAAGATTTACTTATTTGAGGGGTGCCTAGGTAGCTCAGCCAGTTAAACACCTGCCTTCGGCTCAGGTCATGATCCCAGAGTTCTGGGATCGAGTCCTGCATCGGGCTCCCCACTCAGCAGGCAGTCGGCTTCTCCCCTTGCCCCTTACCCTGCTAGTGTGCTTGCATGCGCTTTCTCTCTCTCTCTCAAATAAATAAATAAAATCTTTTTTTCAAAAAATTTACGTATTTGAGAGATAAAGAGCTTGTAGGCCAAGTGGGAGGAGGGTGGGGAAAAGGAGAGAAATCCTCAATCCTGTTGAGCCTGGAACCAGACAAACAGCAGGGCTCAATCCCAGGACCCTGAGGATCATGACCTGAGCCGAAATCAAGAGTCAGACACTTAACCAATTGAGCCACCCAGATGCCCACCCTTAAAGGAGCATTTAAGAGTGGCCTATTCTTTTTTTTTTTTTTTAAAGATTTTATTTATTTATTTATTTGTCAGAGATAGAGAGAGAGGGAGGGAGAACACAAAAGCAGGTAGAGCAGCAGGCAGAGAGAGAAGCAGGCTCCCTGCTGAGCAAGGAGCCTGATGCGGGACTCCATCCCAGGACTCTGGGATCATGACCTGAGCTGAAGGCAGCAGCTTAACCAACTGAGCCACCCAGGCGTCCCAAGAGTGGCCGATTCTTGTCTCCACTTCCTAGCTTCTCAATCTCCTAAAGCCCACTCCATTCAGTCTTCCACCCACCACTGCACGGAAAAGGCTGATTAGGATCACCAGTGGCCTCAGGTAACTAAACTCCCACTCCCCCTGCTGTGTTCCCTCTCTCGCTGTCCCTCTCTCTATCAAATTAATAAATACATTTTTTTTTAAAGATTTTATTTATTTATTTGAAAGAGAGGCAGTGAGAGAGAGCATGAGCGAGGAGAAGGTCAGAGGGAGAAGCAGACTCCCCGCGGAGCTGGGAGCCTGATGCGGGACTCGATCCCGGGACTCCGAGATCATGACCTGAGCTGAAAGCAGTCGTCCAACCAACTGAGCCACCCAGGCATCCCAAATACAATTTTTTAAAAAGAAGATTTTATTTATTTGAGAGAGATAGTGAGAACATAAGGGGGTGGGTATATAGGGAGAGGGAGAAGCAGGCTCCCCATTGAGCAGGGAGCCAGACGTAGGGCTCAATCCCAGGATCCTGGGATCATGACCTGAGCCAAAGATAGATGCCCAATGACTAAGCCACCCAGGCACCCCAGGATTCTTGTTTCCTAACTGGTCTATTTGCTTCTATCTTTGCTCCCCTACTGCTATTCTTTTTTTTTTTTTTTTTAAAGTTTTTTTTTATTTGGGGGGGGGGGGGGCAGGCAGAGGGACAAACATGCAAGGAGCCTGATGCAGGACTCAATCCCAGGATCCCAGGATCATGACCTGAGCTGAAGGCAGATATTTAACAGAGTGAGCCACCCAATCGTCCCTCCACTACTGCTTTTTTTTTTTTTAATTTTATTTCTTTATTCATGAGAGAGAGAGATAGAGGCAGAAGGAGAAGCAGGCTGCCCAAGGAGCGGAGAGCCCAATGTGGGACTTGATCCCAGGACCCCAGAAACATGACCTGAGCCAAAGGCACACGTTCAACCATCTGAGCCACCCAGGCACCCGCCTACTGCTATTCTTTTTTTTTTTTTTTAAAGATTTATTCATTTATTTGACAGACATCACAAGTAGGCAGAGAGGCAGGCAGAGAGAGAGAGAGGAGGAAACAGGCTCCCTGCTAAGCAGAGAGCCTGATGTGGAGCTCGATCCCAAGACCCTGAGAGATCACAACCTGAGCCGAAGGCAGAGACTTTAACCCACTGAGCCACCCAGGCGCCCCTCACCTACTGCTATTCTTAACAGCCAAAGTAGTCTGGTTAAAAGTAAATCAGATTATCATCCCCCTGCTCAAACCCCTACCCATGACTCTCCTCTTTCCACTTAGAGCATAAACTAAAGCCTTTACAATAACCTATAAGGTTGGAAATATTATTCCTTCCCCACTGCTGCCTGCTTTAATCTATACACTCCCCTTCACTCCTGCTGCTCTAGCCATGCCAGCCAATTCACTTGCTCAGGCACATTCCTAACTCATGGAGCTTGTACTAGACATTCCCTTTGCCTGGGATGCCCTCTCTATACTCTCCATTACCTGGCTCATATTATTACTTCCTTTAAATTATTGCTCAAATGGCACTTTCTCAGTGAGGTCTTCCCTGACTATCCCACTTAAACTTGCTACCCCATGCACACCCATCCCCACAGTGGTACTCGCAAGCCTTCTTAGTGGCTCTCATCTTTCCAGAACACTTATCATCAACCATGCTACACAGTCATAGCTATATTTGTCTAACCAACTAGAATATAAGTTCTACAAGGGCAGAGACTTTTATCTGTTTTGTCGAGTAAGTATTCCTAGTGTCTAGAACAGTGTCAAGTGCTCAATAAATATTTGCTAAATGAATGGATAGCATTAGTAACATTATTCTGTATTTACTTATACACAAACCACATTCTCCATATTAGACCAAAGCTCCCAAAGGAAAATATATTTTTCTGAGCCTTAATAAACACTGAGGTGCAAATGAGCTGGCTACATCTGGAGCACAAACATACTACTGAGTATACAGAACAGTGAAAAATGAAAATAGATGACAGCAAAGAGCTGCACAATGAGAGATGTTACCCCCTCCCAAAAAAAGTTGGGGGGAAGAAAGAGTGTAGCTGTATAAAATGAATCCTATACAATGGGGAATAAGAAGCACTTGGAAGATTCCACTTCTTTGCCCCAAATAAACATTCAATGCAAATGCTCAGTAAGGATCTACCCTCTGAAACCTCTAACCTGTGGGACTGTGGTCTCCAGGTTGTAATGTTTATTCAGGAACTTAAGCAGCTTCTGTGAGGGTCGGTCAATGGCCAGTTGGTGTGGTTCAACTCGCTCCTTCTGTAGGGAACAGGAGACTCAGGGTAGGAGAAGGTTGGGGGAGAACATGCCAACAGGAACGCAGGAGCCTGGGAAGGGAATAGGAGGATACGGGAACATGGCAGGCAGGAGGGTACAAGGCAGGGCCACTGGAAGGGGTTAGTGCAAAAGAGACTTTGATCTCTGTCTTGGATAGACTGGTGAAATAAGTGACACCTGCAACATATAGTGGAAGAGTTCTCGCCCATGGCCATGGCGTTGAAGAGACTCATGGATGTAAAAGTCCAGAATGCAAAGTGGTTCTACCTCATTGTGAGCCTCACGATCATCCTAAGAGGGAAAGAAAAACAAGTACCTTTTAGGACCCAGACATCATTGCTGCCTCCCAACGTCCAGACCTTTTATTCTCAGAAGCCAAGGGATGTGAACTCTCAGCTTGTAGTAATACTCACCAGTACAAAGAGTTTCTTGTATCCAACTTTAAGGAAGCCGATAATGGCTCCTTTTCCAGCCCTGTAGGATGGGGAAAATAATGAAACAAGCTAGTAGCAGCTATTTGTAAGGGAGAGTCAAAAGAGGAAGAGGGGTTGAGGGAGGAAGGAATCAAGTATGGGATGGAAGAGCATTTGGCACTCACGGTCGCGCTGAAGTGTCTTTGAGCACATACATAACATGACGGTTACTCTGCATCCTTGATGCACTGGTGATGGGAGCAGGAAGATGCTGGGCCTGCCGGGAAGATAAAGACAGACTTTCTGTAAGACCATTTCAAAGGACCTGTGCTTTCCTTATATACAGGCCCCAGAAAGGCCCTCCCCTTTTCTCCATCTAAAGACTCCCCAGTACCTTGGCAGAAGCCTTGCCCAGTTCATCTACAATGGTCATAATTTGCTGTTGCAGATCAACACTACAGGAAAAAAAAAAAAAAAAAAACGGAAACAAAAGAGTCAGATACTCACTGAATTAGAGGATCCTGGGAACCTTGGCCATAACCTCAACCCAGGTTCAGCACCTAAGACTCTCTGACTTTACCTTAGAGACCTCCAATCTGATTTTCTACCCCACCTTTCTGGAACCCAAACTTTTGCCACACCTCTTTTCAATACAGTACACTCCCTCCTCCCTGAGGTTATTGCTGGGAAGCAGGAAGGGCGGGTCAACCACATCCTTTGGTTAGAACAAATCAGGCTAAGGAGTGAAAGGTCACAGATGCAAGTGCCCATCAATTCCACTAAGTCTAAGGTCAAAAGTCACCATATGGGCGAGCCAGGGCAACAAAAGGAGAGGTCACTAGTCAGTGAGAAGGGGGCGTGGTGCCTGGACCAGGTTTTTCAGAACAAGGAGAGAAGGGCTTTGGGGCGGGTTTGAGATGTCACCGGGCCGGCGTTGTGGTTCCGGGTCGGCGGGCTGGGGGTCGCAGGTGCTGGTCCAGCACCGTGATCCGCTCCGGGAGCAGCGCATCCACATCGAACGAGAACTCCATGGCCCATTGTGCGCGGCCAGACCCCGCCCCATACTACGCCACTTCCGCCCCTCCCTGAAGGGAGGAGGTGGGGGAGAGGAAGCACTTCTGGAAGCCTTTAATTCCCAGCGGCTATGGAGGGGCTCAGGACCCGCCCCATCCTCCGCCCATCCCCTTTCATATCCGCCCCCCCCCCCCCCCCCCCCCCCCCCCCCCCCCCCCCCCC